TATTGTTGAAGTAGACAGATGGATTAGCAAACATTTATCTGGTTTTATCATGTCCGTGTAAAAATGCATGGGCTGTGCTAATCCTGTTTAGGCTGAGTAGCTCAGCACAGTAGTTTGCTGTAAGAGACCACTCCACTGCATTTTATAACACACCTCTTACCTGTTCTCCTTCCAATCCCATTATCTTGGGAATGGACGGCCCACATATATCGATGTCTAGAAGAGCAACCTGGGGAACAAGAAGAGACCAGAGCTGTGACATGACTGAAAGTACAATCCTGCAGACACACAGTTGGGAGGGGATCGGGTTAGAGGAAAAAGAGGGAGGGGAGAAGAGGAAAGAAACTGGGTCAAACATGGACCAAGTAGAACCTCACGAGGAAGAGTTACAGCACTTATCTTCCAGCCACGGACACAGTCAAGACTCCCAAAGAGATCTTGGCAAAGTGCGTCAGCACGGACTCCCTCCCTCCCGCCCAGACTGACTTGGCTCGAGGTGCTCCTATGGACCTGGGTGTCAGGTCACGTGGAAATTCAGGCCTTGGCACTGTTTACTTGGCCCTGACCATGTGCCTGGGGGTGGGTATCATTATCTCTGCGTTACAGAGGAGGAAACTAAGGTTCAGGGGTGCCGTGACCTGTTCAGTGAGCCAGGACAGAGCTGGGACATAAATCAAGGTCTCTGACCCCAAAGCCAGGGCTCTCTCCACTACCCCAGGGGGCCTGGCAAGGAGCTGAGCTCTGACCAAACCCCGTTGCCCTGTGATCCCGAAGGCTAGTGATAGCCTCGGCTCAGCTTCCAGAAAAGAAACTGAAAAGAAGAAGGAAAGCTAGAAAACCTCTTTGCTAGTGGTAAGCACAGCCGGGGATGACTCCTTCCACGCCAAACGCCCTGCTTTCCCTGAGGTGGATGAGGTGTGAACCGGCCTTCGGGAACTCTGAAAGGCGGCTAATATTCATCTGGAAACCTCTAATGTGCTGCATGCAAAGTGCAGCATCTCTGGGTAACTTTTTAACTTGCCCCAAATTCGCTTCTTGCTTCCTTCTTCAAGGCTCTCAACCAACACCAACCTCCTACTTCCTCACCTGCTCTCAGACCCTGGGTAGGAAAGCTTTTCATACAGATCAGCCGGTTACCCCAGGCGCACTCTGCTGGACTAAGCAAGGAGTGCAACAGAATGACACAACTTGACAACCCGACCTTGCCCGACTTTCTAGGTCCTGACACTTGGGGACTGATGTGTGTTCATGATCCACAGACATTTTACATCACAACCTCACGATTTAAGAAACCATACTATCACCACCCCCCTAATAGAGACTTGCATCAATTCTCTTTGGTTTCCAGCACAGTAGCCATGTTCTTCTGGGAACAATTTAATGTTTCCTTTTGAGGCACGAAACTCCCCACAACCAAGGGAGTGAATCATGAGTGCAATTATGCAAGGACGCAAGAACAGACTGCTTGCACTCACTCCCGTGGCAGGTCACGTCCATGCTGTCCAGATCTCCAGTGGTCCTGTGTCCTGTCCCTTCCAAACCTCCTGTCGATCCTGTCCCTATCCTCACTATCCTCAGTATCCATCCAATTCATTCACTTTCTGCTCAAGTTAAGCCACAGAACCCTTGCTGAGAGAAACGTGCCTGGTCATTCGCACCAGGGCCTCTGCGGAAGGTGCTGGAAGCCTGAGGGGAAGAGGAAGCCTTGCCACACCTCTCCCACCCACAAAGTGGTACAGTGGTCAGGATCCAAACTTCCCCCTAAGACAGTGATTCCCAATGTGGGCGCTACCGCCCCCCGGTGGGCGCTGCAGCGATCCAGGGGGGCGATGATGGCCACAGGTGCATTTGGGGGTGATGAGTAACTGCTATTAAAATTTTAAAAAAATTAATTTCCAGGGGCTGAGTAATATTTTTTCTGGAAAGGGGGCGGTAGGCCAAATAAGTTTGAGAACCACTGCCCTAAGAGGTGGCCACGTGGGCCAGGGCTGTGCCCAGTGTGGGGGCTCCTTATGTCTGTGCTCTGTGCCACTGATCCACAGGAGACAAGTGCCTTAAAGCCCCGTCTCAGCCCCCAGGTGCGGAGGAGGCCAGGCCGTCACGGTCGGGCGTGTGGAACCGCTGGGGTGTTGGCAGTGGTGTGTGCGTCTAGGTGCTGCTTTACAAAGTGTACTGAAATGGCACTTCCGTTTCTCTGATGCTTCCTGGAAGCCACAGAATTTAGGGGCTTTAAAAAAAATTAAGGAAAATTAAACACACAAAAAAGAAGAGGTCATGGGAAGTGGGGTCTAGTCCTAACTTGGCACTGGCTGTCACCTCATACACATTGCTGCTCCTCTCCCAGCCCCGTCCGTCTGAGCTGCTGAGCTGTGAAACAAGTGTTTAGGGAGACTGTTAGGGCCCTTCTAGCTTTAGAGTCTACAAACCCCACAGATGGGCCTAAAAACTCAACAGGCCTAAAGCACCTAGCGTGGACCTTTTAATGGTCAAGTTCATCTTTTAGAGCACAAGCAAGATGATGAAGTGGTGATTTAGGGAAGCTGGCGACTTGTGGTGGAAAGATGGCGTGAGAGCTTTTGATGTCAGGGGCTGGGCTCCTCCGCCTCCCTTCACCACAACTTGCACATTTCCCAGTCTGTGATTGGTCAGGAGCTTCCCAAGGCTGCTGCCTCCTGATGCAAAGCCCTTTGCAAACGAGTTGTCAGATACCTGCTTGCCTTGAGTGCAGACACGAACAGCCTTGCTCAGGGTTAGAAAAGGGACAGGGTGCTTCCCACCATCCTGCTGAATTCAGGGCAGGGAGGAATGTGTGAGCCTGGAGGTCAATCTGCGAGACACCCTGAGCATCTACTATATGCCCACACTGGGCACCTTTTGGAAAGTGACACACTTTCCCAAGTACTGACTTTTTTTAAAAAGCACTGCTGCATAAAGAAATTCGGCTCATCTAGCCCTATTTCCACACCAGATGGTGTGCTTTCCTTCAGTCTACTGCAAGGTCTAGACGTGTGTGCAGTGGGGCTTTCTGAACATAATTATATGGAAGCGTAATTCTATGTAAACAGCTGTTGATTCACAAGTGGTTACTTACAACTGGCCTGGCGAAAGCTCACCTCCAGAGAGCTGAGAAGAATATGCCCAACAGCTTCAAGAAGCCACGATTACTCTGGGTAACCTGGACCATGAGAAAACAGATTTCTCGGCTAGCCAACTGGACCTACAAATTTGACCCTCAAATGGCAAGAGATTGGTGATGGATAGAAGAACGAAATGACAAACATGTTTTGAATCTGCTCAGCACTGTTTGGGTAGGCTATAAATCATTATCACTGAAGCAAAAATTTCATCATCCCCCTATTTCAGTTAGTGGAATAAAGTAACAATAATGATCGCTATCAAGGACACTTACTGAGCACTTACTATATGTCAGGTGCCCTGTTAAGCACTTTACGTTTACATGTATCATCTCACTCACCCTGCGTCCATTTTACCTACCCGAGGTCACAGCAGTGGTGTGGGTGGGGCTGGGTGACTCTAGGGCCTGTGCTCTTGGCCACCATGCTAGACTGCACCTCAAATGCTCAATTAGAGTTCCAACTCCTCTCTCCTCTAAAAGTTGGGAGGTTCTGCTCTATCTCCCCAAGTTTGCCCTCATTTGTTCCCTGCCGTTGCTCCAATCCCTGCCCTAGTTTGGTGGACCCTCGGGGCCTGTCCTGGAGACATGGCTTCGCCCTCTCACGGTACTCAACCACACACTCGCTGGCTGTCACGTGGTGCTCCTAAAGCACAGGTCTGGCTCAGCCTCAGCTTTGGCCCCTTCCCAGGAGCAGTCCCCCAGACTGCCTGCCTCTCCATGTCTGCCTGGCAGTCCCACCTCTGTGCCTTGGTTCCCCTCCCCCATCCATCAGTCGCCATCACAGTCCTGATGCCACCTTCTCCAAGCCCAGTCGTCTCTCCTTTTCCCCAAATCCCTAGAGAACATCTTGATGGCAGACACCAGATTCTAGAGAAGCCCACGTCAGCCACGTACAGCCAGTGACAGCAGCTCCATGGGTTATAAAATGATCGGAACAGAAATGAGGGATAAGGCAGAATTCAGAGCCCTAATGCCTGACAGGAACACGGAGCTTCACAGATCATGTAGTCCAGCCACTTCACTGTCCCAGGGAGGCTGTGCCCTGCCCAAGGTTCCAGTCCTGCAAAGAAGTTCTTCCCCAGCCAGCACAGGTGCTTCTGGTGTTAAAAAACAAACCAGGGCCCAGCAAACTACACCCTGGGGCCAAATCCAGCCTGCCACCTGTTTTTGTACAGCCCACAAGCTAAAAGTGGTTGTTATATTTTTAGAGGTCTGGAAAAATAAAAATAAAAAGAATACTTTTGTCACGTTGTAACAATTATGTGAAATTCAACTTTCAGTAACAATAAAGTTTTATTAGAACACAGACATGCTTGTGGTGTATAGGTTGTTGATGGCTGCCTTCATGTTTAAGGGCAGACTGGATAGTTGCTACAGAAACTGTATGGCTGGCAAAGCCTAAAATATTTGCCATCTGGCTCTTGACATGAAATGTTTGCCAACTCCTGAAGCAAACTCTAATTTTGTAATCCAATGACTTAAAAAATATATATTTCTGGAGTTCTTAGATACTGGTGAGGTGTCTTTGGGGGCCACTGCGTGTGTGTACGTGTTTGTATGTTGAGGGCATATCAGAATCATATTTCTGGAGTTCTTAGATACTGGTGAGGTGTCTTGGGGGCCACTGCATGTGTGTACGTGTTTGTATGTTGAGGGCATATCAGAATGGTGTCTTGATCCCCTTGCCCACTGTAGCTGGCTTTATTGTTTTTAGTTTATTTTTGTGGAGGAAATAAAGCCTTTATCATAGTAAGGTCTTAGGGTGCTATTGCTCACTGAGGTAGAATGGATTATCTCACACAAATAGAAAGTACTGAAATTTGTCCAGCTTTTAGAGTTTTAAAATATAGTAGGCAACATGTGGCAGTTTTGAAATTTCAATAATAAATATACCTCTGCAGTCCCTCTAGAACAGTGGTTCTCAACCTTGGCTGCACATTAGAATCACCTGGGAATCTTTTTAAAATCCTGATTTCTGGGCCTCATTCTCCGGAAATTCTGTTTATTTGTTACTAATGTTGTGGCCCCACCCCATAACAAAGAAACAGAATTTCCGGAGAATGAGGCCCAGAAATCAGGATTTTAAAAAGATTCCCAGGTGATTCTAATGTGCAGCCAAGGTTGAGAACCACTGCTCTAGAACTATCTTACTTTCTAAAAAAGTCAAACAAAAGTAAAGGGCCATTTGTCAACAAGTAAGAAAAGAAAGTTGAAGTGAAAGTGTTAGCCCTCCATAAAAATACTAGAAGAGAGAGAGACCAAGATGGCGGCATAGGTAAACACCTATTCAAAATGTTAGAAAAGTAATGTTCAGAAATAAAACAATGCATGAAAGAAGGTACACACAAAGACCATGGAAAGAACTGAAATGGCAGGGAATGGCTTTCAACACAAACAAAATAAGATTGTTTCTACATGACACAGAGCTCTTCTGCAGGCCCCAGAAAGTGCTCTGATGGAGAAAACAGCATTTAGTTGGCAACTGAAATAGTGACTAGCAAGTTCTCTAGCCCAGAGCGCACACAGTGCCAATTCACAAGTTCTCATGAGGTCTCTCATTTCAGGGGTCAACACAGCGAAGGCTGGGTTTTAGAGACACCCATGCCACTCTAGCAGTTCTGAGATGTCCAGGTTTCTTTCACTGGAATTTTGGGCAAAATTTCATTTTGGAAACAACAGGTCATTTTAGAATGTGACCTGTGTTAAAACAAAACAAAACTGAAAAACACAATTGTCATGGTTCTATTAGATATAAAATGATAAAGTGAATATTGGGATCATTTTCTAAGGTCAATGCAAAATTACCATGAGTCCCAATGAATAATGTATTTTAAAAATCACAGGTACTGCAAATTTCCATTTGACCTTTTGGGAAAAAGTATTTTTTTTCTTACTTGCTCCACCATACCTTTTATTAAGGCTGAAATCCAGAGAGCAGCACTGGGTACTTTGAGTTTTCCTGCTCATTTGTGTACCTGGGCATATGTTTGTGGCCCATTACAGGGGTCAGCAAGTTTTTTGGGGGTTTTTTGAGGTTTGATGAATTTTTTATTGTTTTGTGAAATATATACAGCACACCAAGTGTTTTCTTCAAGGGCCAAACAGAAAACATTTTAAGCTTTGTGGGCAAAATTACGGATATTATGTAGGCACTTATGTAACAACTAGAGGCCCAGTACACGAATTCATGCACCGGTAGGGTTCCTTGGCCTGGCCGGCAATCAGGGCCATCGGGGCAGCCGGCCAGAGGGAGGGACCACGGGAGGTTGCTGTGGGAGCGCACTGACCACCAGGGGGCAGCTCCTGCAGAGTGTCTGCCCCCTGGTGGTCAGTGCATGTCATAGCGACTGGTCGACCGGTTGTTCGGTCGACCGGTTGTTCGGTCAACCGGTTGTAAAGGTCGCTTAAGCTTTTATATATATAGATTTAAAAGCAACCATTTAAAAACAAACAGCTCTGGCCAGGTGGTTCAGTTGATTGGAGCATCGTCTGGTACTCCAATGTGGGTTCAGTTCCCAGTCAGGGCACATACCTAGGTCGTGGGTTTAATCTCTGGTTGGGGCGTGCACAGGGAGGCAACTGTTGATGTTTCTCTCTCACATGATGTTTCTCTCTCTCTTCAAAAATCAAGAAAAACAACAACAACATATCCTTAGGTGAGAATTAAAAAGTAATAATAAAAACAAGCAAAAATAAACCCCAAATAACAAAAATAATAACAATAATAAGAAAAGAAAATAAAAGCAACCATTTATAAATGTAAAAATCATTCTTAACTCACAGGCCATAAAAAGACAAGAGATGGGCTCGTTTTGGCCATGAGCTATAGTTTGTAGACCCCTAGCCTAGAAAAAGGCAGAAAGGGGTTAATCATGAGAAGGAAATCTGAACTTGATGTAATATATAACCAGCATGCCAAGAGAAATGTACACCTGTTATCCATCTTCACAACTAGAGCATCCAATGAAAGCTTTTATTGCTTGTCTGCTAGGTGTTTCTTCATCTTCTCTGCAGAGATCAAAGAGGCCAATTTGGCTTAGTCTAAGGAACCAGTTCTCCACAAGCCATCATGAACCCTCAGACAGGAGCCTCTCCCCAGTGTTCCCCTACCTGCGTGTTTTCATCCTCCGCTAGGGCGTGAGCAAGGTGGGCGCTGAACGTGCTTTTCCCAACGCCGCCTTTCCCAGACAACACCAAGATTTTGTGTTTCACGGTCTTCATTTTCTCTTTGATTTCCTCTATGGCTGCAAAGAAAGCAATTCAGGGGATGACATCCTCCAACTAAATCCCAAATGTCACTCTTCCAATGGGCTGGAAGGGATTGTGTGTGAAATACCACCTAATCCAGTGCTGGCGAACCTATGACATGCATGTCAGAGGTGACACGCGAACTCATTTTTTTGGTTGATTTTTCTTTGTTCAATGGCATTTAAATATATAAAATAAATATCAAAAATATAAATCTTTGTTTTACTATGGTTGCAAATATCAAAAAATTTCTATATGTGACACGGCACCAGAGTTAAGTTAGGGTTTTTCAAAATGCTGACACGCCGAGCTCAAAAGGTTCGCCATCACTGACCTAGTCGATGGTAGTAATAAGTGCTACAAAGAAAACAGGGCTATTATCACACCTGACATTTTCTTATTGATTTATTTGTCATCCCTTACTAGAATATAAGCTCCACAAGGGTGAGACTCTGTCCTGAAGTGTTCTCCACCTTATTCCCAGCTCCATTACAGAGCTATGAATATACAGTCATACACCACTTAACAACAGGGATACATTCTGAGAAATGTGTCATTAGGCAATTTTGTCCTAAAAAGCACTCACACAACCTAGATGGCAGAGCCTATTATACACCTAGGCTATACGATATGGCCCACTGCTCCTAGGTTACAAGACTATACAGCATGCTACTGTACGAAACAGCACGAGATTAAATCAGGCACAAGAGAAGATGATGTAATCGAAAGATAAACATGAGATGTATGAGGCAGCTGTCAGTATAACACAGCATACTGTTTTACAGCAAACTCTCATTAAGTAGAAAGAGTACATTTAAAATAATGATAAGTATAATATACAATAATAAATATATAAGCCAATTAACATAATAGTTTATTATCAAGTATTATGTGCTGTATATAATTATATGTGCTGTACTTTTATATGACATAGGTTTATTCACACCGACATCACCACAAACATCTGAGGAATGCTTTGCACTATAAAGTTAGGACAGACACGTCACTAGCTGATAGGAATTTTTCAGCTCCCTTATAATCTCATGGGACCACTGTCACCTATATAGTCTATCGCTGATCTAAATATTATTATTTGGTGCATGAGTGTAGTAATGATTCTCAAACTGGGGGCAAAATCTGCCAGGGGACATCTGGCAATGTTTGAGGACATTTTTAGTTGTCACAAGGAAGGGGTGCTCCTGGCATGTAGTAGGTAGAGGCCAGGGATGCTGCTAAATGTCCGACAATGCTGAGGACAGCCCTCAGCACACAGAACTGTCAGCTCCAAAAGTCAGTAATGTCCAGGATGAGAAACCTGACAAACAGCAGGCACTTGGTAAGTACCCGTCACTGATGACTGTCACTTATTAGACATTTGCTGTGCTTTTCAGGACTTCACCTTCTTTCAAGCCCTTCAAACAACACTGCGACGTAACTAATTTTCTCCCCCATTACTGACAAGGAAATAGAGGCTCAGAAAAAAAGGTTAAGACTCTTGCTCAAGGTCAATACTGTTTTTGAGGGAACTAAAGATCAAACCCAAGTCTCTCTTTGACTCCTTCAAAATTCTTCTCCCAGCTTCCTGCCTTTTATGTTCCAGAGTCCTCCCCACTCTCCAATGTGACCCCCTAGTGCATATTGCTGTGACTTATTGCTTGCTTGCTTGTTTACTGTGGGTCTCCCCTACTAAACTAAAATCCCCTAGAGCAGCCACCTCTCTCTTTCTCAGCTATATCTCCAGCACCAGCACTGTGCCTAGGAGGCGATTAACACATATTTCTGTTGAATGAATGGAAGAATCGCTCCTCAAAAGGAAGAAATTCTGTCCAAAGAAAGTAGCTGAGGACGCCAGGATGTAAGCCCAAGCTCCCTGACTTCAAAGTTTATAGCCTATCCCAGTGGTTGGCAAACTGCGGCTCGAGAGCCACATGCGGCTCTTTGGCCCCTTGAGTGTGGCTCTTCCACAAAATACCACGTGCAGGTACGCACGTACAGTGCGATTGAAACTTCGTCGGTTTTCGGCCTAGGCGAGTCTATTTTGAAGAAGTGGCGTTAGAAGAAGTGGGGGTACGTTCGCTGAGGTCGACCCCTCAGATTGAGGACGTTTTTAGCAAAGGCCAGCTTAGGAGTACCCTAATTAAGTTAATAACAATGTACCTACCTATATAATAATTTAAGAAAAAATTTGGCTCTCAAAAGAAATTTCAATCATTGCTCTGGTGACTAATGAGTTTGCCGACCACTGGCCTATCCCATCGCTGGTGGCCTCCTCCAGACCAGTCACTGTCACTCAAACTTCTGGCCACACCCCTCAACCCAGCCAACTTCTCCCGTGCCCCGCCCTTGAGACCCCTTTTGACTTCAGGCAAGTCACGGATCCTTAGGCTCCACTGCAGCCGGCCACGTTCCTGGTTCCTCGCCTTTTAAAGGCCCTGCCCCTCGGGCCCCACCTCTGTCATTCATTCCTCAAGTCCCGCCCCTCCTCGCCTCCCCTCCCCCCACCGACTTCACCACCAAGCCCCGCCTCCACCGTACCTACAACGCATCCTTTAAGTCACGCCCCACCGTCCCCGCCCACCTCCCACCCCCGCACGGAGTTCACCACCAAGCCCCGCCTCCTCCAGCCCCGTACCTGCAAAGCATCCTTTAAGTCACGCCCACCGTCCCCGCCCAGGTTCGCCATAAGCCCCGCCTCTTCCGGCTCACGCCTTTTACGTCCCGTGCAGAGCTTGCCCCTTCCTTACCTGGGTCCGGAGCCTCGCCGGCGCCTGAAGCGCACAGCCGCTGGTTGGGGCACCCCTGACAGGCGGTCCCTCGGCCGGCCTGGGCGCTGCCAGTTCCGGGGCAGTCTGCGCGGAGACAGAATCACAGTTAGAGCGGCTCCTGTCTTCCAGCCCCGCCACCCACGCCCCTCCCGCGCGCTCACTGTGAGGCGTCTCCTCCATTTTGCCGCCTTAGTCGCCGGAACCTGCGCGGCACCGGAACCCCCATTGCGTATTTCCGGCTCGTGGCACTCAATCTGACCCTCCCGCTGCGTCGGGAAGAGAGCAGTGCGCACGCGCGAACCTTGTGCGGGGAGCCTAGGGCTGTTTTATTATTACTCTCCGCATTGAAACTGCTGCAAATATCAAATACTTACGCATGTATCTCCTAGGAATAAAGGCGTTATCTTACATGACCTCCACACCATCTTGATAACCAAGAAACTTACCATTGGTGCAAAATTATTAGCCAATGTGTCTTTAGTCTCTTTTAATCCAGTACAGCCCTCCTCCCTGCCCCTTCCCTCCCCTGGCTACGTGTTTTGTCTTTGTGAGGTTAATAAATTTGAATAGTAGTTCAGGCCGGTTTTATAGACTATCCCATAATCTTTGTTTGATTGCCCCACCCCTCGTGATCAGATTCAGGTTGAAAGTTTTTGGCAGAAGACGAATGTCATGCACTAGTATCACAGCAGGAGGGACATATCCCAATTGGTCCCATTGTTGGCATAAAAAAACAAACGTCAGATGAGTAAATTTTAAAAATCTTATTGGCTTTGTCAACCAATGGTCTTTGGCACCAACTCAACACCAACAGGAATCCCCAGTTTGGGGGTGTGGTGAAGAAGCAAACTTTATTCAGTGCAAAACAGCTCAATTGCAATACAAAGCAGGGCTTTGAAAGCAGCACATAGGTCCCTCTCAGATAGAGAGCTCTGCTCTGCTCCTCAGGGGTCTGTTTTGTGCTGTGCAGTCAGCTCTGGCCTTCGCCAGTCTGCCATGCTGTAGTGAGAGACATCTTCAGTGTTTCAGCTCCATTGGGGAAATGCAATCCTCAGTCTCAGGTGAAAAAGAAAATGTGCTTCCAGAATCATAGGGGAGCTGGCTTATATAGACAGAAGTCCCCACCTCTGCTCCCTGACTGGTCAGTCCTCTGCAAATAAAGCTTCACAGTTTGATTAGTCAGAATAGAGCCACTCTGATTGGTTGGAGCTCTCAGCTCTGATGGGATGAAGAAAGCCTCAGTTCTATTGGTCCTTTATATGGGCTGACTCAGAGGGCAGAAACACAATGCAGGCAGGCAAGCCAGTGCAGAGGCAGGTAGATCAGTGCAGGCTTCTCCCAAAAGTGCAGTTTGTGTTAGAGACCCCTGTGCAGAAATGGCTGGGTGTTTTTTTTTTGTTTGTTTGGTTTGTTTGTTTTTTTTTTGGGGGGGGCTCTGTTTCTTAAAATTAGAGCCCAGTTAGCCACCAGGAGCCCTTCTTAGTAGGTGTCTTCTTTCTCTTGGTTCACAGCTTTATCCAATGATTTACTAATCAGACAGCATCCCATCGAGCAGACAGAAAGGAGGTCTGAGGAGCTGTATAAAACGACTTACAGACTCACATGGTGGGGATGGGTGAGGTGGGTGAGGGTAGATTACATAGGAGTTTATGGAGCTCGTGCTCTGAAGTCAGATGA